CCCCAAAACCCCAAAACCCCAAAACCCCAAAACCCCACAATGAAGATTGATGACCAGATTATAGCAGAATAATTATGAGTGAAATATAATCAAATATATTCGTAAAATGAGCAACATTGAAAAGGCTTTAAGAAAAAAGATTTCACAAATGAAAAAGGATCAAGAAGATCTCTATGTATATTGAATTTAAGTTACTAATAATTTTAGACTATCATTGATATTTTAAAGAAACCTTATGAAAGAAGAACTTAAAGAGATTTGGATCAACTACAGCCGCTCATTAAGAATATTTAGTTCTTTAAGGAGAAAAAATTAAAAGACAAAGATCTCATTGACATCTGCAAAAGGCTGAGATATCAGTATCATGGACCAGGCAAAAATGTCATAAGTTTCGGTAAATCAATGCTTTAATTCTAAGATTTTTATAGGTGATAGAGGGGATCAATTTTTTATAGTTCTAGGAGGACTCGTGGGTGTGTTTGTTCCAATATAAAAATAGACTGATGAATAAAAGTTGGAACCTTTACCTCCAGTAGCTTTACCCTTAAAATTATCCTTAGGAAGAGAATTCAGTCATAATGTTAGAGTCTCACCTCTCATTCAACCATAACTTAATCATTCGAAGAAATCTGCTAATGTAGAACCATTCAAGATAGATCCATCTCCATTAAAGCTTAAATTTGAAAAGCTTAGCGATTTACTCAATTAGTAATCTTCTAAAGGTCGAAATGGGATCGAGGCGTTTTAATCTTCCCAAGAAGATAGAAGTGTAGCTGAAAATTAAATATCCGATGTATAAGAGTAGCATGAAGAGTCTGACGGTGAGATGCCTTTGAATGTTATTGATGGATATAGGGAGGTTGCTCAGCTTGGGGCTGGTAAAAGCTTCGGTGAACTTGCTCTTACTATTAACAAACCTAGAATGGCTACAGTTCGTTGCTTTTTAGAGACTCATTTCGCTACTTTAGATAAATATGACTATGAGACTTCATTAATGAAAATAGAGCGAAAGCACTAGAATAAGATGGTTTAATTTATGCTATCTATTCCTTGCTTCAGGCAGTTTACAAAGAATTCAATCTTAAAGTTTAGTTACTATCTAAGAAAAGAAAAGCACAGAAGAGGGTAGATTATATACTTAAATGGAGAGCCTGCTAACTATATATATATTATCAAGAGTGGTGAATATGAGGTATCCAGAAAAATACCAAAAGATATAAGCAAAAAAAGAGATAACTTTCTCTAGGCATTTGGAGTTAAGAACTAGAAGAGTAATATCTTTAGCTAGAAATTAGGGAATGAAATTGAGGATGTGCCTACAACTTAAAATTTTATGATTGTAAGTAAAGGTAGCATGATTGGTGAGGAAGACGTAGTTAGTAATGTATCAAAGGCATATTCTTGCACTGTTAAATGTGTAACTTTGAAAGGTTCAGCATTCAAAATAGGCAGAGATGATTTTCTGACTCTGAAGCAATCAGATGATGCTTGGATGAGTATCCTTGAAAAAGCTATGTGGAAAGAAAAGTAAAAGGGAGCTGAGCATATTGCTGACAAATAGAAAAGAGTGAATGAATAGAAGTCAAATAGTGGGGTAATTTATGATCTTAGTGACCACCAACTAGAATCCGTTCGGGTTTCAATGAAAAAATGGGAAGAGGAAAAGCTAAAGCAACTTAGTGAGGCTCCCTCCCCAGTTAAACATCTCAAATAGTATGAAATTCAGACTGTTAGTCAAGCCACCTCATTATCTTTAGGAAGACAAACACCATCCATAAATAGCAGTGATAAGTCTAAATTAGTAACAAAATTATATAATCACACAACTCGACATCTTTTTGATTCATCTGTAATATCATTGACCAATAAAATTACAAGCAGTTCAGTCCAGTATAGGACACAAGATCTTTCATAATAGAAGCAATCAGATTATAATTAGCAATACTAGTAGCAAACTTTAAATTTGCAGCTTCCAAGCATTTTCCAAATGTCTTCTAGAAATTAAACAACAAATGCAAATTAAAGTCTAGAAAACTCTACATTACATAAATATGATGCAATAAAATCAATTACTACAGATAACGAAAGTGAAAATTTTAATAACCTAAGTATAGATATAGAAGCAAAACTTGCCAAAAATAACTTGAGTCTGATTAATTCTAGACTCAAGAATTACCCTTAGATTAGTTTAAACAGCAAACTTGAGAAAAGTCAAAGTTCTATGCACAAATCTTAAAGCCCTACAACATATGTTAATAGATCTGCAAATCAATCAAAACTTTAACAAATCATCAAGATGCCACAAGCTTATCTCTTTGATAAAAAAAAGTTAAACTAAAGAAACAAAGAAAGGATAAGTTAAGTTGAAACAGCTCTTAGCCAATCTATCAATGGAGGACTGTCAGCAAACAGCAAGGATGTTATGTCAATGAGACGTTTCAAGTTGAGTCAAACAAATAAAATACTAGATAACTTTGAAAAAGACAGAGATACCAACAATAATTCAAAACTTATGAACATTAAGGAGCAAATCAATGAGAACATAGATGAGGAAAGCAAGTAAGAGTTGCTATTCAATGCTAGATATCGAAGTTGACTATGAAATAAACATCTTGAATAACTATTATTAGCAAGCATACAATATAATTTTGACAGGATATTCACAAATATTCCAGATGATAAAACCATTAATTTCGTTAATCACTAGTGATTCTTACTCATGGGGTTTTGGGGTTTTGGGGTTTTGGGGTTTTGGGGTTT